AATGTCCAAATGAGAAAAATGGCTGAGGAAAGAAGAATCTATATGAAAGAAAATAAAATGAAAGAGATAAAGTTATAGGACAGCAGGTTATCCATTGGAATCTATTCAAAACAGACCAGAAAGCTGGTTTATTCAAGACAATCCCCAAACAAATTTCACTGAAATATTATATTCTTTTTTAATTCAGGGATTTAAATAGGAAGTACCTGTGAAAAAGAAACATCTTTTAAATACACCGCCTCTCTTAATAGTGTTAAACGGTTATGTAAAAATTAATTTTTCATCGTTAACCATGAAAACTTAACCACATAAACTTTAATCTTTGGCTTTGTTAGACTTTCTTCTATCATATATAAATTTTTTCATTTGGGTGATCAAAGTTGTACCAAAGTCTTACATCAGACAGTATTCAAACATCACCGACTAGAAAGGGAAATGGGTTCTTGCATGGTTTAAGAAGTAGAATAGAAAAGATGAAATACTGTGAGACAACATGGATGGATCTGAGATTATCATGCTAAGTGAAATAAGTCAGACAGAAAAAGTCAACAACCATATGACTTTACTTCATATGTGGGATATGAAACTGAAAGCAACAAATGAACAAGACAAACAAACAAAAAATAATAGACACAGACAACAGATTAGTGGTTACCAGAGGGTAAGGGGGTAGGGGGGTGGTAGATGAGAGTAAAGGGGATCAAATATATGGTGATGGAAGGAGAACTGACTCTGGGTGGTGAACACACAATGTGATATATAGATGATGTATTATGGAATTATACACTTGAAACCTATATAATTTTACTAACCAATGTCACCCAATAAATTTAATAAAAATTTAAGAAAAAAACAACAACAAGGAGTTGGCAACTTTTAATGTACCACTAAAATTTTAACATAAGGTATGGTCAGGAAGAAAATGAACACATTTTCTGGAAACACATAAACTTCTAAGCATTCTTATCTTAAGCTTGTTTGTCTCAAAGTGTTACACATCAATATACCTTTATATTAGTTTTATAGCCCTGGGAATTTAGGGACTATGATGTCAGTGAGTAAGGTAGCCATGGAAAATTTTAACAGTACTAAACAATGACTCGGGGAAAAAAAGAGAGAGAGGATCCCAGAAATCTGAAATGAAATTTTTTGAGTGAAAAGAATCTTTAAGATAATCAAATTTATACCCTTCATTCATTGGGAATAATCAAACATTAATTTCTCTGATTTATGAATTAGAGTTTGTACATGTCTTTCTATTGTAAAACATGACTCTTGGTAATTTCTTAGAAACAGAGTCCAAGAGAATAGAACTTTGAAAACATGGCAAGTCTTTGATGGATATAAATATATTTCTTCTTGCTAGAGTCAAACCAGGTGTCTTGAGCCAGGCTTCTGGTATCACTTTTGATTTTACATTTCAACATGGAAAAGAAGAATGACAAACAGAAAGACAGCATTACCTGCTTAGAAACGTGGAAAATGCAAAATGGCTCAGAGGTGAGGCCCTTTCGAGGGGCTGAACCAAAGTGTTAGAAGATCCTGGTACTCAAGTTCTCAAACTCTGATGATGGAATCAGAGAAAGCACTGGCTTGAAAGTCTGAGGACCTCAGCTTTGAGACTTTGTGGCATCAATTTTAGTTGTGTGACCAACCACTGACAGGTTCTCAAATTCTGATTATAAATGTTTTTTTTTGTCTTAAAAATACGGTTCTTGAAGGGATTGGATGAGATAATGTATGTAAAGATACTTTGCAGAAAAGCATAATTTGCATTACTATGCTAACTTACCAGCTAACTTATATTAAAAACAATTTTAATCCAGTTGTCTGAGCCTTTGTCAGAGTTTAAGAGCCAAAATGTCATAATGCCACTTCTATAGCCTCTCAGTTATGTGCCTGTATCCTGTCATTAGAAACCATGACCGAATCCCTGGTTCTAGTACATTCCAGGCCTTGCAGCGGTCTCCAACCCATGTGACTTCAGCAAATGGCACACAGATAAGAGCTTTCTACTCCACAATTAGTCACATTGGGCTAAAGGCTCCCAACAGTGTGGTGAGCACAGCAATATCTTTTCTTGCTCCCAATATTTCTGCAAAGCTGGGCTTTTCATGACTTGTGAGGCTGTGTCCGCCATGGGCACCTGTCCTCTCTCCAACTCCACCTTTCCTCACTGTTTGAGGGGCTCCATCCTGTATGTGCGCTCATCACCCCCTGTGATAACTCTGCATTGAAAGCATCAGTAACATGCTCTTATCACCAGTCAGTATGTGCCCACAATGCAAGACCCCTCCCAGGTGCCCGAACCCAGCACCCACTTGGAAAGTCACCTCCGGTACTTCTCAGGGGTCACCTGCCCTTGTCCAGCAGAATAAATCAGGCTCCTGTGGGGTAGGACTCCTGACAGCAGTGTGAATGAACCCTACTGATCGTGCATTCCAGCAAATAATATGAAACATACTTGTCCTGACATAAAAGCCATATGGATGGGAACAAATCCCACCATCTAAAAGCAACACTGGTCATATGCTAGGGTGCAAATAAGACAGTGCTGAATGAGGTGTCAGAGCTGCCTGTCAAGGAGCTCTGTGCTAGACACCATTCCTAAAGGTCTTAAATGGTGTTTAACTGAGCTGAAAGGGACCCTAGTGATGAGTACGATCCCTGCATTAGCAAATAACTAAGGCACAGAGAGAGGAAGCGACATGCCCAGCATCACCCACTAAACGGCAAAGCTGGGAAGAGAGCACACCATCTCCAACCCCAGACTCTGCTGCCCTTTCCATAACCAAATATACACACTCTGCCCTGGAACATTACAGCCTACACTGAATGTAATTTCCTGTGCCTCTTTATCCAAAAGCAAGGGGTGTAGCCAAATGCTCTCCCCTGGCTCCCTGAAGCCCAGTGACTCTATGGCACAGAATCAAAATTGCAATCAGGCCACCTGATATCGACCTCCCCCCAGATGGGCTGTTTACAAGGTCTCTCCCGCTCTTGCTCTTACACTTTGCTATAATAGTTTCCTCAGCTGGCCGCACTCCATAAATACTGAGATCCAATGAGCTGATTGATTAGCTAATAAATAATAATGTTTACAGCTTCCTTCTTGCACTCACAGCCAAAGCAACTGTGCTAAATGGCCCCTTTTCCGTCTTTCTTTCCTCCTTGACTTGCCCATAAACTTTGAGACTCATCGTGCAATAGGTCAGGGAAGCAGTTACTTTGGGGTTTACCCTTAACAATGGAAAAAGCAATGACGTCCACAGGGGAAAATCCCCCAGAACCAGTAGTGAACCGGAAAACATGCTTTGACTCCAATTACACACAGCACTCCAGGATTCTTTAATCTTACGGTCCATCACAGTGTCAAGAGCTATTTTGCAGGCTTCCGACAGAGACACGCACACAATCCTTTAATCCGGGCAGGAGGTGAACATGAGGGAGAGATCTGAGAGCAGAGGCTGCCAACGACGGAAGATAAAGTCTGAGCTGCAGAGACGACCCCCAGAACTGCGACCATAATATTTGGAAGGCCCAGGGGCAGAAGAACACGAGTGTGTGTGTGTGGCAGGAGCAGCTGGACCAGGATGCTGAGTTGCATGCTGCTTGGGTACCGAAGATTTATCCGGAGGGCCCAAGTAAAACAGACACACACCTGAGTGTTCAGAAATCTGGAGGTAAGCAGGCCCAGCTCTCCCTGGAACTAAGTTTCAAGAACACATTTCTTCTCCATATTAACATCATGCAGGATTTACTTCTATTTAATGCTATTAAATGGTACGCATGTGTACACCTGCATCTGAGCACATGCACTTATATTTTTTTGCATAGAACCCAGACTCCCAGTTTCCCAGGGGTCTCCTGGTCCTGCCACTTCAGTGCCTGCCACAGTCACAAATACTCAGTGTCTTTGCATCCACTTCTATGACCACAGGTAGACCATGAGGATAAAATATCATCAGACAATAAAATTAGTGAAGGGAGGAAGATGAGTAAAGGGTCATTTCTCCAGAAAACACCCTTCATTCTTTCCAATGCTTCTCCCCACAGTGAAATCGGAAGTCAGCAGAGGCCCATGAGACCTCAGGCATTTAAAATGCCTCTGTGGCCTAAACAACATTTGGGGTAACCAAGAACCAAGACATCCGTCCCTCTTAACTTGATGAGACTGGCCACCCGGGGAGTAGGCTCCTCACTTATTTCACTGCCAAGTGGCCTTCCTAAATTCATGAGGCCTCGCAAAGCTGTACTTCTCCTCAGTCAGAAAACACAGATCAATATACACAGCAGAAGCACTTATGCTTTGTTCATAACATCTCCTGTGTAACTGTGAGAAACATCCCCCCCACCAAGTTGGCAGGGGTTACTTCCGTCAGCAGTGCCCTGGCATAGGGGCTGCTCCTGAGAAGGACGGAGGAGCAACAGGACGGCAAAAGCAAACTGAACCTAGTGTCAAGCAAAAAGTCAATCAGGTTAAAACAAGGTGATGCCACTGTCCTTGTTTGCTTAAATATGCCAAGAGCAACGGCCCTATGAACATGGTGGAAATCACAGATCTACTTATAGTGGGTCAGTGGTCCACACAGGGACGAACGCTGGGACAAGGCCTGCCAGGGTCTCCCTAGCAATGACAAGTGGGAGACAAGCTTCCTCCAGCTCCAGTGTCACAAAAGGCCACCGCAAACCACCTCAGCTGCTTCTACAGGGAAATCTGAGCAGATACGTGGGCACGTAGAAAGAAATCCTATTCAACTGCCCTGTGGGCAAAAAAATTCCACCATTGCCATGAGAAGATATATATATATATATAAAAACATCACACAAACACGATTACCTCAATTTAGAAGCAAAAGGCATGGGGTGGGGGTGTGGGGGAAGGGGAAGGATGCTGAGAGCCAGGGGGCGGCGTTGGTGGGAACGCATTTCCAGGGGCTCATAGCACCTGTTTGCAAGCACATCTCTCAAAATAGCGTTAAGCAACAAGTTTCTAAAATGGCACATCCAATGCTTCTTTTCCCTGGGAGTGCTTTGTCATGGCTGATACTCTGTACTCAAGAAATCGCTTCCAAAGAGCCTGCAGGATAAAACAGAGCATTTTTTTTAAAACATGTCTGCAGCTCTGGCAGCAGCAGCAGACCACAGGCGCGTGTGATGCGGGAGAGGCTGGAGCTGGGCGCTGCCTGGGCCCCACCTCCTCCCGGAGCACTCACCATCAGCAGGCTGAGCGCAGAGTCCGGCACCAGCTGCACGGCCATGGTCTCTGATTCCCATGCACAAATGCTCCTGCACAGTCAGTTCGCCTGGGCCCTGGGTGACTGCAAAGCATCCATAAACACCTGCAGAAAAGCAGCCAGAAATCCAGACTCAGGGTGCAAAAGGCTCAGGAGGAAGACAGGCCACATTTTACATGGGGTTGGGGGGAAGGTCAGGGGGATGTTGGGAAGAAGGGGTGGGAACCGGGCTTAGGGAGGGAGAAAAAAAAAAAAAGAAGGAAAATAAGAAGCTGCAGGTTATTTAAAGGTGAGCCCTGCCTGGCTTCTATGCTAAGCTGCACAAGCACAGAAACCACATCAAGCACAAATATAAAAAGCTCAGAACACTGAATTTTTAACTGATCCCTTAGCCTAGGCAGCAACTCTTCTTTTAACTGACAATTAATATAAAACGTTCCCTAGTGCAGATAAATCAACCAGCCCCGAACAACACCCCCCACCCCCCTTCTCTGCATCTCTCAGCAATTCTGCTGCATAAACATGCTGAATGTCACAACCTACCGCTTGCAATCTGGTCAGTGTCTTCTTTCCTGCAGAAAGGTGTGTCCCTGTTGCAGAATCAAGTATCTGGGAACCAGGGAGCCAAGCCTGACCACCAGCACCAGGCGGTCACTGAAGATCAGCAAATGCCCTCATCATAACTGAGGAGGAAGTCAGTTATGAACAGACCTTTCCACCATCCCCAAAATCTACTTTTCCTCCCCAAGTGGACTGGCAAGCTTAGTGCCCGGCAGGGCTACTGTACTTCCGAGGAACATGTGATTACACTGCCTGTTCTGGGAGCGCTCAGATCTCCCTGCCTGCACCACATGTATGCGAAGACAGACACCCTCTACCTCTCTCCCTCGCTTCCTCCCGCCCTTCCTCCCTCCCATCTCTCCACCAGGCTGCCTGTTAGGAATTTTGAAGGAGCCTCTCTAGCTCAGGGAGGTATGGGAGGCTAATTTGTAGCAGAGGACACTGCTTAAGACAAAAAAAGGCAAATTAGCCTTGAAAATCATATCATGCAGCATTTTCCTTGGAAGATGTCAATGGAGGGGAAAAAAAAAACAAACGGAAGTCTGTGGAGTCTTGTTACTTAATGAGTGGCTCAAAAGGCTTCCCAGAGTCAAAGATTTAAGAAAATTAAAGCATCTTTTTTGATGAGCACTGCCAAGCTTATATCTTTTTATGGAATCCACTTATTCAACTAAAAATAGCCATTACTAATACTTCCAGTAACATTTTTTTTCATGTCCTTTACTGATTTCTTTCTTCATTCACCTGCTGTAACGACTCCAAAAATTCTTTGATATTAACTGGACAATGTGAAATGAATGTAGGAACATAGAAACCAACTTTCTAAATAGAAACTGGGGAGAAGAAATTAATAGTCTTTAAATGTTTCTATAGACAAGTATAGCTGTTATTCCTATACATACTTTTAAAAGCATTTATTTGATCCTCACAGTGCTTAGCACAAAGCAAGTGCTGAAAAATATTCATTAATTGAATGAAAAGATTCCCCTCTCACTGTGTATCCTATGGTGGCCCAATAGGGTTGAACCTCTGTTCCAGGTCGTCTGATTGGATTCTAATGCCCTTGACCTCAGGAAACTCTTAAAACCACTCCCTACTATCAGATGCTTGGAGATTCATGGCATGATCTGAATCATGTGGGTGGCCTTGCACTGAGCTATCAAAACATTCTGGACTTGCTAGTGGGTTTCATAAAAGAATATAAAATAATAATAATTATTATTATTATTTAGAGAATGCATCTATAGCATTACCTTAACCTTGCAAATAGGGTTCTAGTATTCAGCTATATTTGCTGAATGCCTACTGTATGCAGTACTGTACGATAAGCTTTGGAGAAGATGCAAAGCTACCCCAGTCTCTGTCTCCATGAACATATTATCTAGATGATGCAGCAATACCCAATAATCATTTATGATGCAAGACAATAGGTGATAAATGCTATAAAATGACTTGAAAACAAACAGTTGGGCTGTACAGAGCAGGGATAGTGTACTTTTGGCTTCAAGAACATGGTAGTTTTGGGGATGGAACTTGAGGAATATGTGGGATGTCTTTTTCATAGCTTCTGTTTTGTAATTCTAGATGGACTATGTGCTTGGAAAGTATGGAAAGCATAAGGAAAAAAGTGAATCCTGATGCTACTGCAACCGGTATATGTGAATGGCAGGAGGCTGTGCCCCACAGAGCAGCTCCTGGTGTGGAGAAGTCCCGGACACGCTCAGGGTGGAGAGATAGGCCTGAGAGGGGATAGGTCAACCACTGACAGGCCTCAGCACCCCTGCCTCCCTCTCTGTAATCTGCTTGGGAAGCCTCGCCCTGAATCTTTGCCCAGATTCCCTAGGCAACAGAGCCGGTGGCAGGTCTCTCATGTGAAGGAAGACATTATTGGGAGGTGCAATCTTGGGGCAGGGAGAGAGAAGGAGCTAGAAAGGGGAAGCAAGGAATGAGGGTGGGTATAAGGCTGTCGTCTGGTCACAGCACATTGGTACAGTAGTGAGGAAGGGCTTCCAGACATGCATGGGACTTCTTCATTCCTTGGGATGGACCATCGGGGAAAGGAAGAGGGAGGGAGTTACCAGCCTGCTCCTGCCCTGCAGCTACTTTTGTTGGTCAAATTGACTCCAGGGGGCATGAACTCCCATGCATTTCAGAGTTACCTGACCAGCTCCTGCAGGTAGCTGTGAACGGAAGGACAAGGCATCTGAGACAGCAACAAAGGAAGACGCCACAGCCTTTGTGGGTCAGTCAGATAGGACCTGGGCAGTGGAGCTGCTGAGGCCTCTTCCTCAGTGCATGTTATGGAAACTGCCCCAAAGCCTGGTCCACACCCTGGAGGAGGCTGGGACAGCAGCAGTGCTAGGAGTTAGAATGACAGTGGCAGCACCTGGACCCCCCACCAAGCAAATACCTAACCTCCAGGAGCCATGGGGGAGCCACGCAAACCCAAGAGGTACATAAACTGTATATGTTTACATAACTTTTAATGTCAAAATCCTCTACGAAATACTTCCTGATTTTTCCATTTGGGCATTCATATTTGCTTTGTTTGTACAATTTTAACTTCCTGTTTATTTGTATGACTGCTTTTTATGACAGTTATTCACTTTATTATCCCCCAATTAGAGAGTGAGCAGCCGGATGTCAAAACAGGCACCATCCATCTCTGGGTACTCTTGTAGCTCAGAGCATCACGCTGAGAGCAGAAGCTGCCCCATAACATTAAACTGGGCACCAGTGGAGATGCTACCATGTTAAGGAGAAAGGGCAAGGGCAGCGTTCCGAGGGTGGGTGGGTAGCACACGGGAAGCATATATATAGGAAAAGCAGCACTGGACAGAGAAGGAGGGGTCAGAGAAGGGAAGGAGGGAGCCCCAGAATTCCAGTGACAATGGTAGTTCTACAAAGATGCCTTGAGCTTTTAGCAAAGTCACAAACACAGAAATCAAAGTGTGAACAGTTATGGAGCAATGTATGAGGAAAAGGAGTTAGTGTAAAATGAACCCTCATGCAAAAACAAAAAATAAGCCAGTGAGGTATGAGCTCTCTACTTCTTTTTAAAATCTTGTCCAAGAGAATCAAGATCGCAGAAGGGAAAAGGTGTGAGGGATAGCCATCCTTTCCTCTACATAACCAAATTCCTGGCCCTAAATTCCTAAATTCCTTGGCTAACCTACCTACGACCCAAGAAAGCGACAGCATTCCTTTCAGTGTAGCTCCTCATAAAAGTTCCTCAATTGAAGGACAGTTCAATGTCACATACACAAAAAGCCATTACAAAAAAAAAAACATAACAAAACAAAAAACAGTCATTAAAAACTTCTTTTGTATTTAATACGAAGCTGTTGTGAAAACACCGATCATTGGGTCCACTCACTCCTGCCTGTGTAAATTGCCCTATGTGAGAAATTTCTCCTGGAATTTACTACAAGGAAAATGTCTCTCCCTTCTGAGGCAGCCTGTGGGCTGGACTGCGTTAGCTGCTCAGAATCCCTGTTAGGCTATTTTACTCTTGGAAGTCCGAATGCTTATTCTGTCATTTGCTGTGTGACCCAAGTAAGTGCCACCAGGGTGAGGTGAAAATCAAATCAAATATTATTATACCTTTTTCTAAGTTGCACATAATAGGCGTTCAATAACCGTTAGTTCCCCTTCAGTCTCCTTTTCCTTCTGATAATAAAAATAATGGAACTAACCACCACTGGCACATTTGGCTGTCAGAATACCCAAAGCCCAATTTTACTTTCAATTAGAGCAGATATTATCATAGCTGGCATTGTGACTTCCTTGGTTTTTCTCAGCCTTGTTTTCTTCCTTTTAATTCGTAATGTATCACTCTTATTTGGTTGGCTTTTTTTTTTTTCTTGTCAGTGAGCCATCTGAAATACTTTCTCTGGAAAGAGGTCCAACATAAATCACTCTTTAATGTATAAGCAACTCTCAAATAAATTTGGCACACTGGAATATTTTGCAGCTACTGAAATGGCAATTATGAAAAGTAGTTAGAAATATGGAAACTGTCTGTCTGAGCTATAATGTTTATTTGACCATGAAATGATATATATATACTCTAATTACAGCCATGTAAATATTTATATTTTAAGAGGATATGAAGGACCTTTGCTTCCAGCCAAGATAGAGCAATAGGGATGAAGTTTATCCTCCGTCCAGAAACAAACAAACATGGGCAAAACATATGAACCAATGTTTTCCAAAACACTGGACACAGGACAACCAAGGGCGATGACCCACGATAAGCTTTACAATTGTCCCAGGCTATTGAATTAAGAGTGTTTCCAGGCCACAGAACCGAGAGGGGAACCCAGGTGGAAACAAGCGGATTCCCTAAATGGAGTAGACAGGGGCGAACAAAATGGGTAGAGTTCACATGGCAGAGCACAAGAGAAGAGAGAGGTATGGAGAAAGAGAACCTCACAGATCTGTAAAAGGGCCCCCTTTGGGTATTCAGTTGAGTGCTGACCACCTCATGCAAAAGAGGAAATTATCTGAAGCTGGGGAAAGAACTACCTCAAAGAATTAGAAAGATTGGTGACTGGCGCTCAGACGGTGCTTGCCTCAGTAGTGAGGAATAATTAGCCATAGATGGATTATTCCCCTGTGTCTGCCTAACAAATGTGAGAAGCAAGACCTGAAACGATCAAACTGTTCCCAAGTAACTTAGCTGTGTTCCAAAACAAAGTTAAAGAGTGTTTAAGAAATGCAGAAATAGCCTGCATCCATCAAGGAAAAATTTACCATGTCTGGCATCTAATAAAAATTACCAGGTATGGAAAGAAGTAGGAAAATATGACTGCTAAATAGAAGAAAAATGAATCAAAATCATCCAAAAGTAACACAGATGTTAGAGTTAGCAGAAAAAAAACACATTAAAACACTTACTATAATTTTATTTAATATGTTTGAAAAGTTTGTTAGAGACACGAAGATATAAAAAAGACCAATTTAAACTTCCAGAGATTAAAAACTACTCAAAAATGAAAAGGAAAAAAAAATCCCACCTTTGTTGGAATTAATGGAGATTAGACCTTATAGAAAAAAAAATTAATGAACTTGAAAACATAGAAACTATTCCAAATGAAACACAGAGATTTAAAAATAAATTGAAACAAAACAAAATGAGCATCTGTGAGCTGTGGGACAACTTCAAGCAGCCTAATATACATGTAATTTGTTTCCTTGAAGAGATGCAGACACAAAATATATTTGAAGAAATAAGGACTACAATTTCCCCAAACTATATGCTGAACAAATTCAAAGCTTGAAAAGAACTACACTAAG